ACCTGATCTCCTTCTTTGAGAAAGTAACAGACCTTCTAGATAAAGGAAATGCAGTGGATCTAATATACCTCGATTTTAGTAAAGCGTTTGATACGGTTCCGCATGAGGAATTATTGGTTAAATTGGAAAAGATGGGGATCGATAGGAAAATCCAGAGGTGGATAAGGAACTGGTTAAAGGGGAGACTGCAGCGGGTAGTACTGAAAGGTGAACTGTCAGATTGGAGGGAGGTCACCAGTGGGGTTCCTCAAGGTTCGGTTCTGGGTCCGATTTTATTTAATCTATTCGTTACTGACCTTGGAACCAAATGTAGGAGTGGGCTGATAAAGTTTGCAGATGATACAAAGTTGGGAGGCATTGCCAACTCGGAGAAGGATCGGGATATTCTGCAGGGAGACTTGGATGACCTTGTAAATTGGAGTAATAGTAATAGGATGAGATTTAATAGTGAGAAGTGTAAGGTGATGCATTTAGGGATGACTAATAAGAATTTCAGTTATAAGTTAGGGACGCATAGGTTAGAAGTGACTGAGGAGGAGAAGGACCTCGGAGTCCTGGTGGATCGCAGGATGACTATGAGTCGGCAATGCGACGTGGCTGTGAAAAAAGCTAATGCGATCTTGGGATGCATAAGGCGAGGTATTTCTAGTAGGGACAGGGAGGTGCTGCTTCCGTTATACAAGGCGCTGGTGAGACCTCACTTGGAGTACTGTGTGCAGTTCTGGTCTCCTATGTTTAAAAGGGATGAACTGAAACTGGAACGGGTGCAGAGAAGGGCAACTAGGATGATCCGAGGAATGGAAAACCTTTCCTATGAAAGGAGACTCGAGGAGCTTGGTTTGTTTAGCCTAACCAAAAGAAGGCTGAGGGGGGATATGATTGCTCTCTTTAAATATATCAAAGGGATAAATACCAGGGAGGGAGAGGAATTATTTCAGCTCAGTGCTAATGTGGACACGAGAACGAATGGATATAAACTGGCCGTGGGGAAATTTAGGCTTGAAATTAGACGAAGGTTTCTAACCGTCAGAGGGGTGAAATTTTGGAACAGCCTTCCAAAGGAAACAGTGGGGGCGAAAGACCTCTCTGGCTTCAAGATTAGGCTAGATAAGTTTATGGAGGGAATGGTTTGATGGGATTACGTGATTCTAATCAATTAGGCAATAACGGCCATCGCTGGTAAAATGAGGGTCTGGCTAGAGAATCTTGCCTGTATGCTCGGGGTTCTGCTGATCGCCATATTTGGGGTCGGGAAGGAATTTTCCTCCAGGGTAGATTGGCAGTGGCCCTGGAGGTTTTTCGCCTTCCTCCGCAGCATAGGGCAGGGGTCGCAAGCTGGAGGATTCTCTGCGACTTGAAGTCTTTAGATCACGATCTGGAGACTTCAACAGCAGAGTTAAGGGAAAGTGGGGGGGTCAGCTTTTGTGGCCTGCATCATGCGGGGGGTCAGACTAGATGACCATATTGGTCCCTTCTGACCTTAAAGTCTATGAGTCTATGAGTCTATGAGACATGGGCTCTGTGCTGGGATTTTGTCCCAGGAAAGGGACACAGGCCTTCTGCACTAGCCCGTTACCCGGCAGCCCCTGGGCACTGGGAACACGCAGCATGGTGGAGTGGCCACATCTGGGATTTGCAAACAGGGATTCCCATTTTCTAATCCTGGAGCTGCCGCTGGCCCCTGGACACGTGTGCGCGTCACACGCCCCAACCTGTGCCACGTGCCTGGCCTGGCACTTTTACCCCCTCCCCATGTGAAGGAGCCAGGCTGTGATGTCTGCGCAGCAGCGTGAAGTCGCCGTGTGCGAGCTCAACGGGCCACGCACCGTTGGTTCGCCTCCGTCCAGACGCATTCGGCCTCAAGACTCTCACGCAGCGTCACTTGTTCCATCACTTCCATGTCTACCCAGCGAGCTGCCTGCGTTATGCGCCGCGGTTCACTGACGTTACTGGTGGGTGTGACCCAGGGGTGAAAGTAATTTAACGGACTTACCAGTATGCCGGAGTCCTGAGCAGAGGGCGGGGCCTCAACCGGAAGGGGTGGGGTCTTTAGCGCCCCGGGCCCTTTATATCGAGATTTAAAGGGCCCCAGGCTCTGGCTGCAGTAGTGGCGGCTGGGAGCCCCGGGCCCTTTAAATTGCCGCCTGAGCCCTGCTGCCAGAGCCCTGGGGTAGCAGCGGCGGCCGGGGGCTCGGGGGGTGATTTAAAGGGCCTGGGGCTCCCAGCTGCCGCTACCGCAGCGGGGCCCCGGGCCCTTTAAATCGCCGCCGGAGCCCCAGGGGTCCCAGCCACCTGCACCACCCGGGGGCTCCGGCAGCGGGGCGCTGGCGGCAATTGAATGGGCCCGGGGCTCCAGCCGCTGCTGGGAGCCCCAGGCCCTTTAAATTGCAACCTGGGGCAGCTGGTCCGGTACCGGCTTACTTTCACCTCTGGTGTGACCTACACAGGCTAACCACAGGCAAACACAACACCCATCAAGGCCCGGATTAACCTTTTGTGGACCAGGCGCCAAACATGTTTGTGGGCCCCCAGGGATGAGGGGCCGGCCAGGGACAATGGGGCATGGCATGGGGGGGGAGGGTCGGTTCCCAGAGCCAGGGGCAGCCGGGGGCAATGAGGCACTGGGCATGGGGAGTCGTGAGTGGGGTCTGTATAGGGGGGAAGGGGCTGGGGGGGTCTCTTATGTGGGGTTGGGGGCAGTGAGTCTGTGTGGCGCTGTGCTGGCGAGCTGTGTGCGGTGGGGGGGTCTCTCTCTCTATGGGGCTGGGCTGGGGGGTCCTGAGGAGCTGTGTGTGCGGGGGTGACAGTGGGAGCTGTGTGTAGGGTGGGACAGGCTGGCTAGGGGTCCCAGGAGGCCAGTCTCTCTCTCTCTGTGGGGCTGGGGGCAGTGGGTCTCTGTGGGGCTGGGTTTTGGGGGTCCCATAGGGGGCTGGGCTGGGGGGTCCCAGGAGCTGTGTGTGTGGGAGTCCCGGCGGGGGGGGGGGGTGTCTCTCTCTCTCTGTGGGGCCGGCCAAGGCCCTGTCTGATATGGAAGCAGCTGGGCTTGGCCCTGCCTCCCGCCCAGCCAGGAGGAGGGACCCAGGGAGGGACCTGCCCTCAAGACGCCAGGGCTGTTGTTATGGGCCCCTTCTGAGCATGGGGGTGGGGGGGGCCCAGCCCCGCGGCCCCACGGTAAACCTGGTACTGCCTGACCCTTCACACACTGGGGAGGGCTCGTGCGTCGCTCAGGGCCGAGCCGAACATCTGTCGGAGTCGCTGGTACCTTTGTCAGGTGCCTTTTGGAGCCTCAAGAGACTCTGGAGACCAGCCGGGCACGGGCATTCGCCTCAGAAGTCAGCACGTCCCTGCCGGGAGCTGCAGCCTGGGCCCTTCCCGCCAGGTCTCCTAGAGCCTTGTAGTTGTTGGGCCGGGCTCCGCCGGAGACGCTCGTCTATCATGCAGTTAGCAGGGGCTGCCGCTGCTCCCATTGACGGGAATTTGTCTGCTCTGTGACCCAGTGGGTCACGCTCAGTGGCTCCATCTCTGCTCCTGGGCTTCCAGATGGCCCCGGACGCCTTCCCTGTCCTCACGGGCTAGAAGGCTGCGCCGTTCTGCTCTGGCGCAGACCTCACCCCGGTGACGGATCATAAATCACTTCCAGGCAGGGCTAGCACAGGGGATCATCCGACATCGCAGCTAGCACAGAATGCGGCAGTGTTCTGGCCACTGACTGGCTACCAGCTGGCCTCTGGGTGTAATTCAATTCCTGCTCTCCCTGGCCTGGTGTTACGTGGAGCTCGTCCCTCTGGTGTCCGAGCACCATTAACCAGACCTGGACGGCCTGGGATCCTGCTCTCCCATAGGTTCCTCCTGCCCGCCAGCCATGTTGCTGCAGTTGCAATTGGCTGGCATGGGTTCTTCCTCCGTCCCCAGGGCTGACCCCTCCGCTGGAGACGGGTGGCGAGACATTCCCAGTGGCTGGTCTCTCTGCCCCGGGCACGGTTCCACCCCAGCGTCCAAGGGCAAGTGGAGCCTCCCAGAGCTGGTGCAACCCCACTGCAAAGGGCAGGCCAGCAAGAGCAGGACGATGGGCCTCCAGGAGCAGGGCCCAGACACCTGTCAAAGTTCCAGGGAGCCCCATGGTGCCCGAGGGAGCAGGCTGGGGGCAGCTTAGCCTCCAGTGAACCTCTCCCCCCGCACACTGACTTCTAAGCCAGAGCTTTAATACAGGGCTGTCAAACTATTACAAAAATTAATTGTGATTAATTGCGAGATTAAAAAAAATAATTGCGATTAATCGCAGTTTTAATTGCACTATTGAACAATACTAGAATACCATTTATTTAAATATTTTTGGAGGTTTTCTATATTTTCAAATATGTTGATTTCAATTATAACACAGAATACAACATGTACAGTGCTCACTTTATATTATTATTTTTGATTACAAATATTTGCACTGCAAAAAACAAAAGAAATAGAATTTTTCAGTTCACCTCATACAAGTACTGCAGTGCAATCTTTTAATCGTGAAAGTGCAACCTACAAATGTAGAATTGGTTTTTTTACATAACTGCACTCAAAAATAAAACAATGTAAAACTCTAGAGCTTACAGGTCCACTCAGTCCTACTGCTTGTTCAGTCAATCGCTAAGACAAACAAGTTTGTTTACATTTGCAGGAGATACGCTGCCCACTTCTTATTTACCATGTCACCTGAACGTGAGAACAGGCGTTCGCATGGCACTTTTGTAGCCAGCATTGCAAGGTATTTACATGCCAGATATGCTAAAAATTCATATGCCTCTTCGTGCTTCAGCCACCATTCCAGAGGACATGCTTCCACAATAAAGAGATTGCGCTACAGTACTTGTATGAGGTGAATTGAAAACTACTATTTCTTTTGTCATTTTTACAGTGCAAATATTTGTAATAAAAATAATATAAAGTGAGCACTGTACATTTTGTATTCTGTATTGTAACTGAAATCAATATATTTGAAAATATAGAAAAATCTCCAAAAATAGTTATAATCAATTTAAATTGGCATTCAGTGCGATTAAAACTGCAATTAATCATGATTATTTTTTTTAATCAAGTTAATTTTTTTTGAGTTAATCGCGTGAGTTAACTGTGATTGAGTGACAGCCCTGCTTTAACACAGTATCAGAGAATATCAGGGTTGGAAGGGACCTCAGGAGGTCATCTAGTCCACCCCCCGGCTCAAAGCAGGACCAATCCCCAACTAAATCTTATGACAGTCTATGGGTACGTAGTGTGTACAAACCAAAGAGGGATGATATTCACGACTGGCACCTGGACGTGACTAGGAAGAACAGGCTGTAACAGAGAAAGGGAAGCCGTGGACTGAATATGAGGAGTAACTTCCTGGCAGCGAGATGCATGGGCGGGGGGTGTCAGCCAAGGGACGGGGGGGAGCCCCACCGCTTGGAACGGGACTGGACAAGGGGCTGGAGATGTGCTGAAGGGAAACAATCCAGCGCTAGCCCCTGGGAGAGGGACCGAATGACCGAACAGGGCTTGTCCATCTCTAGTTCTGCAACGCTGTGACTCCTCCGTCCGCAAGCGTCCTACAACAGAGACTCCCACTTTCCACAGCCCTCCGGGTGTCTCTGACTGGGCAGCGGGCTGCGAATCTGCTGCGTAAGTGCTAAATATTTTCCTTCTCGCTCTTCTGGGGCTCAGGCAGGGCAGGTGGAGGCTCCTTGGCTGCCTGATGCAGGTACACGCAGCGCTAAGCACGTGACAGGGTGGGACGGAGCAGCTGCTGGGACCCGCCCTGCAGCCCAGACAAAGAGATCGCTAGGATCTCCCGCACTGCTTCCCTGCACCCCCTGCTAGCAGGCTGCGGGTCTGTCTACACAGCACAAGCTGGGCCTGGCCAGCTAGCCTGGGGAACGATAGCGCTGAGCGTAGGGACGCAGGGGCTTGCGTGCAGGCAGGACACGGCCAGCCCAGCCCCTGGGGACGTTCTCAGCCTGCTCTGACGCATGCGCGGCGCTGTCTGCACTACTATTGTTACGTGCGTGACCTGGAGACAAGCCAGCTGGGTAAAGCAGCCGGGACGCAGACATCCCCAGCGCGTGGCGGGGAGGTGGGGAGCAGGTGGCGCTGGGCCAGGCCGTCGGGACACTGAAACGGTGCGGCCAATGCAGCAGCAGGAGGCACACATGGCAGCGCAGGGTCAGGCTGTCACAGCGGGGTTATTTCCCGTCTCCGCAGCGTCTCTCCCGCTGATGAGCACGGACCGTTTTAGAGGAGAACTGACCCGGGCTACGCAGGGACAGCTGGGCTGTCTTCGGTTTCTGTCTCACACCGGCGCCGTGCTGCAGAGAGCCCTGCTGGATTAATGACTCCCATCGCACAGGACTGGGGGGGTTCGGACTGCGCTCGTGAGTGACGCTTTCCCTGCTCCCCGCAGTCAGACGGTTTCTTCTGGGCGATCCCGCGGGGCCGGCTCCGTGTATAATTGAGGCCCAGGACTTACTCCGCCTGTTGCGTAGGGGAGCCCCCGGGTGCTGGCGGCTGGAAGGTCGCTGCGTGCGCCGAGCAGCCGGCGGGCTGGCCCTGCTGGGGCAGTCGGAGCAGTGGTTTCCCCGAGCAGCTCTCCCCGCGCTGAGCTCTCCGGAACGGCCCCTGCTGGGCGTGGTGGCTCGTCTGGTGCATGGCCATGCGCTGCATGTGATTGAAGGTCTTCCCGCAGTCAGTGCAGATCAGCGGGGCCTGCCCCGTGTGCACCCGCTGGTGGGTGAGCAGCACCTTCTTCAGGCGGAAGCTCTCCCCGCACTCGGCGCAGGCGAAGGGCCGTTCCCCGGTGTGCAGCCTGACGTGCAGCTTCAGGGTGATCTTGTCCTTGAAGCTCCTCCCGCAGTGGGAGCAGGCGAAGGGGCGCTCCCCGGTGTGGATGCGCTGGTGGCTGACGAGATGGTGCTTCTGCGTGAAGCGCTTGCCGCACTCGGCGCAGGTGAAGGGCTTCTCGCCCGTGTGGGTTCTCCGGTGGATCACCAGGTGGTGCTTGTGGCTGAAGATCTTCCCGCAAGCCTCGCAGGAGAACGGCTTCTCCCCGGTGTGCACGAGCTGGTGGATGCTCAGAGGTGTCTTGTCCTTGAAGCTCTTCCCGCACTGGGCGCAGGAGAAGGGGCGCGTGCCCGTGTGGCTGCGCTGGTGGCTCAGCAGATGGTGCTTCTGGGTGAAGCGCTTGCCGCACTGGGCGCAGGGGAAGGGGCGCTCGCCCGTGTGGGTGCGGCGGTGGGTGATCAGGTGGTGCTTGTGGTTGAAGATCTTCCCGCACTCGGCGCAGGTGAAGGGCAGCTCCCCGGCGTGGACCCGCTGGTGGGTCAGGAAGACCTTCCTCAGCCGGAAGCTGCTGCCGCACTGGGCGCAGGAGAAGGGGCGCTCCCCGGTGTGGGTGCGCTGGTGGGTGGTGAGGTGCTGCTTCTGCGTGAAGCGCTTCCCGCATTCGGCGCAGGTGAAGGGCTTCTCGCCCGTGTGGATCCGCTGGTGGATTATCAGAGCCGTCCTGTCCTTGAAGCTCTTCTCACAGCCCGGGCACGCATGAGGCCTCTCTGCCACCCTCCCGGTTCGTCTCCCCGGAGGGTCTCCGGCCTGGGCTCTCGGCTTCCGGCGGGACCCGCTTTCGCTCTTGCAGCTCTTTAGTTCCAAGAGCCGGAGACCTTTCTCCCCCACTATTCCGGATACGGTCCCCCGCGGTGCCAGGGCTTCGGGATCCTCCTGACCACGACAGCCCTCTTCGTGCTTCTCCTTTTTAATGGTGATGCCAACACCTGCTGGAGAGAGGAGAGAGCCCAGACATCACTTCGTCGGCTGGCACAAAGGCAAACTCCTAACACTAAACAAGGGTCACGGGATGGGCTGTGTTCTTAGGGTGTTTGTTTCATGACTCACCTGAGCAGGGGCTCTGGGGTCTCCTCTCTCTCCAGCCCTGGGGCTCCCGCACACACGGCTCTTCCCCACACTCCATCTGACAGATGATCTCTGGTTTGGCATCTGGACACCCTGTGCAGGAGGCAAAAATCACAGGTCAATGAGACAGGCTCAGAAGAACATAAGAACGGCCAGAGTGGGTCAGACCAAAGGTCCATCTAGCCCAGTATCCGGTCCTCCGACAGTGGCCAATGCCAGGTGCTTCAGAGGGAATGGACAGAACAGAGCAATTATTGAGTGATCCATCCCCTGATGCCCATTCCCAGCTTCTGGTACTCAGAGGCTTAGGGACACCATCCCTGCCCATCCTGGCTAATAGCCATTGATGGATCTACCCTCCAGGAACCGATCTAGTTCTTTTTTTAACCCACCTATACTTTTGGCCCTCACAACATCCCCTGGCAAGGAGTTCCACAAGTTGACTATGTGCTGCATGAAGAAATACTTCCTTGTGTTTGTATTAAACCTGCTGCCTGTTTATTTCATTTGGTGGCCCCTAGTTCTTGCGTTATGAGAAGGAGTAAATAGCACTTCCTTGTTCACTGTCTCCACACCATTCCTGATGTTACAGACCTCTATCATATCCCCCCTCAATCCCCTTTTTTCCAAGCTGAAAAAGTCCCAGTCTTATTAATGTCTCCTCTTATAGAAGCCCCCATTCCCCTGATCATTTCTGTTGCACAGGGTGAGTAGGTTTCCCCAGCTGCCTCTTAATTCCTGAACCCCTCTCTGGGTCCGGAAAGGCAGCGAGTCCGCCAGTGACCTGGATTGTAAATGACACGGGAGGGCCATGCAGTGTTGTGGTAGCCGTGTCGGTCCCAGGACAGTAGAGACAAGTTAGGTGAGAATATCAACTCAGAGCCCAGCTTTCGAGCTACACGGAGCCCTTCCTCGGGGCTGGCAAACTTAGTATGAGTACGTTTGTCCAATAAAATATTACCTCACCCACCAGGTCTCCCTGGAGGGTGACACGTTCCAGCAACGCTCAGCATGTCAGCACCCGGCAGGAGGGTTTTCATGGACTCTGGCTAAGCGGTCTGGGTTTGTTTCAGTGACTCCCCAAGGCCTGGCCCAGGTGACTGCACAGACGGCCGACACCGGCCAGCGACAGCCGCACACTGATTTTAACCCACGCTGGTTATCTGTAGTCTCTAGGGGGATGTTTCAGAGCAGGGAGGGGCAGGGAACTGGCCAGCATTCGAAGTACCCAGAACGATGCCCATTTGGGATGCCAAGAGGCACTCAGAACATGACAATACCTTACCCCTCTCGCCAACGAAACCTGCCTTATCTCTGGGCCCGGCCCCACTCCAGTGCAGGCCTCCTCTGGAGGCTGTCCAGTGATCCTCCACGTGGGTGGGGAGCCCCACGGGACTGCTGGAGATCACACTGAACCCCCTCTCCTTTCCTGCTGCACAATCACAATTTAAAGGGGCTAACGATGCAATGGGGATTTCCTCTAATTACTTTCTTGTACTTTACCCAGGTCTCTCAGAGGAAAAATATTCCCCACCCCTAAAACAACAAGGTGCTGGCCCCCCTCGGGGGGCAGAGTTAAGGCTGTGTAGGAAGTGTCCCCTGAACTCTGCATTTCCTGGTTTTGTGACGTTTGTGTTTGAATTGTGACACTGATGCTCTTGGAGGGATACATAGAGGGACCTCAGCTCCACAGGTCTGAGTTTGGGGGGATTGAATATTTGAGTTTGGGGGACTGAAACGCTCCTGTTTGGGGAGGGTGGGAGGAGCTCCTGGGCACCTGAAAATTAATTCCATAAGAACAATGCTCTTTGCATTTCTGTTTGCAAAGGGTCTGCAAACTTTCAGGATAATGATCCTTAACCACTCTTGGGAGAGAGACGCCTCAAAAGTGCCAGGAACCATTCTTACACAGACCACGCAGCTCTCGGTAACACGAGGAAAAGTGTCTCTTTACCCAAGGAGGCGATGAGCTCGTAATTCTCCTTCATCACGTCCCGGTACAGCTCCCGCTGCCATTCTGCTAACTCCGCCCACTCCTCCGGGGAGAAATAGACCGCCACGTCCTCGAACGACACCGGCACCTGCAAAACAAGCGGCCCCATTCAGTACCTCCCACCACCGGCAGCCCTGACTGCCTTCCAGGCTAGGGATATTCCACGTGTCTGAGTCACAGCGCTAACCGAGGCCTTTTTACGTGTGCGCCTGATCAGAAACAACGCTGGCTACGCACGGATCAACTGGGTTAGAAAACACAGCAGGGCAGAAGAGGGCTCACTAGTGCTGGAACTCCATGAGTTACAGAGAAATAAGGAGCAATGGTCTCAAGTTGCAGTGGGGGAGGTCTAGGTTGGATATCAGGAAACACTATTTCACCAGGATGGTGGTGAAGCACTGGAATGGGTTCCCTAGGGAGGTGGTGGAATCTCCTTCCTTACAGGTTTTTAAGGTCAGTCTTGACAAAGCCCTGGCTGGGATGATTTAGTTGGGAATTGTTCCTGCTTTGAGCAGGGGGTTGGACTAGATACCTCCTGAGGTCCCTTCCAACCCTGATATTCTATGATTCTATGATTCTATGATTCCACTTTCCACAAGTGTCCCTGACAAGGCAAGGCCCAGGGAATTCCACCCAAGGGCCCGGTTACCTCCCTTTCTTGTACCTGGAGGGCCCACTCCAATTACCCCCGGGGCTGGGCGCTCTATGGAGACACTGCTCCATTAGCACTTCTGCTCAGCGTCAGGACTTCGTCCCCACAGTCCCCACCTCAGAACCATTTGGTTAAGCTCACTGCCTCCTCGCTCCGTATCTGCAGCTGAGCACAGCAAAGGGAGCTGGCGGATTGCAAAGAATTCTTTTGATTCTGTGCAAAGGGAAGTTGGTTCCATAAACGTTTCTGCATCGAGACCTCTGGCCCTTCCTGATCAGCCGCAGTATTTATTTTTTTAATACTTTGGACTTTTCCCGAAGATCGTCCCTCCAGCCTGGGTGTTTCGGAGCAAACATCCCACTTTCTTCACGATCAGCAGTAACAGGTGGAGCACTGTTTATCTCGCGATCCCAAAGCACTTCAGTTAGCAGGTAGCACGGTCCCTGTTTCACAGACGAGGAAGCTGAAGCATGGTGGGAACTGACTCACCTGAGTAGGGCCCATTAGCCTGGCTAAGAGCTCCCTCACTCCAGAGTTCACTGTGTCTCCTGGCTGGCTTCATCCGCCAGCAGAATCTCTGCCAGGCCCCGGGTCCGACTCCACATTGCCCTGCCCCAGAGTAACGTTTGCAAAGGCAGTGCACAATGGGCGTAAGATGGAACTGCTCCGACCGGGTGGCTTTATACGCCCACTTGGCCCAGGTGTAAACGGCCACACGAGAGACAGCGGGACACAGAGCCACAGTATCAACCTGATTCTAATTTATACACGTACAAATCATCCCGCACGGCCACGCAGACTAATAGAAATGAGGTTGGGTAGCGCCCGGCCCTCTCTGCCAGTCCAGTCCTGGCCACCACCCCGGCAGACCCTGCAGTCTGGGTTCAGACCAAACTTCCGCTGCAATCCGAGGGCATTCTGGCCAGAAAGGGCCGCAGGAGTGACCCAGCCATGCTGGTTAGGGCTCTAAGTTATTTTGAAATGTGCCGAGCACCAGGGCTTCCAGCGCTTCCCTCATGGAGACGATTCTCCTGTTGGTGCGTCTCATGGAGCCACACAGCTGCCAGTAACGCCAATGGGGACTCTGCATCTAAATCCCATACTCTGCGTCTAAATCCCATAGGCAGCGTTGAAAATCTCAGCCTAAAAGTCTAATTTCAGAAGTCCCTACCGGTGCGCCAGGGCTTATCGCTGCCCTGTCTTTGGGGGCTTCGAGCCAGTTTTCTGTCCGCATGACGTGCTTCTAGGGAGTCACTGCTAATTCATTTTTCACCTAAGATTTCACACATTCAACTAAAATCCAACCAGATTTATAACTACGTCATCCCCTACGGCTAGTCATTGGCTTTTAAAAGGCCATTGAGTTTCTTGGGCAGGATTTATTCATAGATTCACCGTTTGGAAGGCCAGAAGGGACCAGTCTGATCATCTAGCCTGATCACATTGGAGAGAGTCCAGCGGAGGGCAAGAAAAATGATTAGGGGGCTGGAACACATGATTTATGAGGAGAGGCTGAGGGAACTGGGATTGTTTAGTCTGCAGAAGAGAAGAATGAGGGGGGATTTGATAGCAGCCTTCAACTACCTGAAGGGGGGTTCCAAAGAGGATGGAGATCGGCTGTTCTCAGTGGTGGCAGATGACAGAACAAGAAGCAATGGTCTCAAGTTGCAGTGGGGGAGGTTTAGGTTGGATATTAGGAAGAACTTTTTCACTAGGAGGGTGGTGAAGCACTGGAATGGGTTCCCTAGGGAGGTGGTGGAATCTCCTTCCTTAGAGGTTTTTAAGGCCCCAGCTTGACAAAGCCCTGGCTGGGATGATTTAGTTGGGGTTGGTCCTGCTTTGAGCAGGGGGTTGGACTAGATACCTCCTGAGGTCCCTTCCAACCCTAATCTTCTATGATTCTATGATTCTCTCTCTTGCACAAAACAGGCCAGAGAATTTCTCCGAGTGATTTCTGCATCAAGCCCATATCTTGTGGTTGAGCTAGGGCATATTTACTAGAAAGCCACCGAGTCTTGATTTAAAGACTTCAAGTGATGGCAAATTCATCATGTCCCTTGGTAAATGATTCCAATGGTTAATTGCCACATTGCTCAGAAATTGCACCTTGTTCCTAGCCTCAACGTATCGACCTTCAGTGTCCAGCCACTGGCTCTCGTTCTGCCTTTAGATCGAAGACCCCTTTCTAGTCCGTACAGAAACCCCTGCGGCCTGAGTCCAGACTGGCTCGGTGCAGTCTGAACACTTCTTCCTGTGTCAGGCCCACACTCTGCAGACTGGTACCATGTTCCCTCCTCGGCCGGCCTTTCCACGTGCCCGAGTTCATGCCTTAAAATCCTTCCTTCAGCCTCTGAATAATTTGCTGTTGCTTCTGTGGGGCTCTGGGAGGGGGTGTCCCTGGTGTGGCGCCCAGCGCGCTCCCACCAGCGCCACAAAGGGATGACCTGGCCCCTGCTCTGCTCCCAGACCGAGGCCTCTGCAGATGCAGCTCCAAACAGCACTGGCTTTGCTGCCAGGCCCCCCAGCCATGGCACGTCCCCGTCCAATCTGCTGCCCAGGGCGCCCCTCGGTCTGTGCGGGCGCAGAGGGGTCCCCAGCCGCCCCCTGCCAATGACTGTCCCGGGTCTCAGGGGGGATCCCAGGCACACGCTTGTGAGCTGTTTCCCTAGGGCCCGGCCTGTCTCTGTCCTCTCCGGTTACACCCTTCCCCGGGTCCTGAATACCGAGGCTAAACCAAGGGAGCCCAACGCAGATTCTCCAGCGCCCCCCGGGTCTGTTCTCCGGGTCTCGGCTTCCCCGGGGCTTGCGGAGACACTGCCCCCCCGGGACCCCCCACCCACAGCGGGCCGGGCCCGAGAGCCAGCCGCAGCCGGGTTCGCCCACCCAGCGCCCCGGGCTCCGGGGGCCAGCGCCTGCCGGGCGGGGTAAGACGGGCTGCGGTCCCGAAGGTGGCTACGGACCGCGGGCAGGGCTGTTGTCCCGGCTCGGCCCGGCCCGGCCCGGCTCCGGGCTCCCATTGTCACCGCGCTGCTGCTCCCTGCGCCCCGAGCCGGCGCCTACCTGCGCCCGGCCCCCGCCGGGCATCGTCCCCCGGGCTCGGCCGGGCAGGCGCGTCGGGACGAAGCTCGCCGAGCTCCGGGCTCCGATGGCTGCGCGCCCCCGGCTGGATGCGCTGCGCGGGGCGGGCGCAGGATGCGCTGCGCTGCGCCGGGCGGGCGGGCAGCGGGGCGCGGAGCTGGGCTCGGGGAGCCCCCGGAGCTCGGGCGCGGAGGTCTCCGGCTCTCCCGGGGAGCCGCGCGGGGGGACCCGGGCATCCCCCTGCTGCGGGAGGGAGAGAAAACTACAGCTCCCGGCAGCCCGTAGCGCGGGGCCGCCTCCCCCTCGCCTGGCCCCGGAGCCTCCCCGGCCGGGTCCTAGCAGCGCCCCGCTCCGCACACGGGCTGGCGGGGCGGCCAGCGGGGAGCGTCCCACTCCCACCCCGGGGCCCTCCGCAATCCGCACCGCCGGCTCCTGCCCGGGAACCGGGCTGCAGCGGGGAAAGGCGCCCACACCCCATCGCCTACCCGCCCCTGGCTTCCACACAGCCCGGAGGGGGCCTGCCCCGGGGAAGGGGCTTGTGCATGAGAACGGCCGGACCGGGTCAGACCAAAGGTCCATCTAGCCCAGTATCCTGTCTACCGACAGTGGCCAATGCCAGGTGCCCCAGAGGGGGTGAACCTAACAGGCAATGATCAAGTGATCTCTCTCCTGCCATCCATCTCCACCCTCTGACAAACAGAGGCTAGGGACACCATTCCTTACCCATCCTGGCTAATAGCCATTAATGGACTTAACCTCCATGAATTGATCCAGTTCTCTTTTAAACCCTGTCATAGTCCTGTATCAGAGGGGTAGCAGTGTTAGTCTGAGTCTGTAAAACCCCTTCCTCTTTTCATTCATCACTTTCACTTCCCTGACAGTGAGGTCATCATCAGAGGGTCTGACAGGACCACAGGGCAGGCCAGACCCTAATGTACATTGTCCTGATGATGACACAGCACAACTTATTGCTGAGCTCTGTGACTTTATCCTCACGCACAATTATTTCAAATTTGGTGACAATATATACCTCCACACCAGTGGCACCGCTATGGGCACCCGCATGGCCCCACCATATGCCAACATCTTTATGGCTGACCTGGAACAACGCTTCCTCAGCTCTCGTCCACTCACACCCCTTCTCTATCTACGCTACATTAATGACATCTTCATCATCTGGACCCATGGGAAGGAGACCCTGGAAGAATTCCACCATGATTTCAACAGCTTCCACCCCACCATCAACCTCAGCCTGGACCAATCTACACGGGAGGTCCACTTCCTGGACACCACAGTACAAATAAGCAATGGCCATGTTAACACCACCCCATACCGAAAACCCACCGACCGCTATGCCTACCTTCATGCCTCCAGCTTCCACCCCGGACACACCACACGATCCATCGTCTACAGCCAAGCACTGAGGTACAACCGCATCTGCTCCAACCCCTCAGACAGAGACCAACACCTACAAAATCTTCACCAAGCATTCTCTAAACTACGATACCCACACAAGGAAATAAAGGAACAAATCAACAGAGCCAGACGTGTGCCCAGAAGCCTCCTGCTACAAGACAGGCCCAAAAAAGAAACCAACAGAACTCCACTGGCCATCACCTACAGTCCTCAGCTTAAAACTCTCCAACGCATCATCAGTGATCTACAACCCATCCTGGACAATGATCCCTCACTTTCACAGACCTTGGGAGGCAGGCCAGTCCTCGCCCACAGACAACCCGCCAACCTTAAGCATATTCTCACCAGCAACCACGCACCGCACCATAACAACTCTAACTCAGGAACCAACCCATGCAACAAACCTCGATGCCAACTCTGCCCACATATCTACACCAGCAGCACTATCACAGGACCTAACCAGATCAGCTACAACATCACCGGCTCATTCACCTGCACGTCCACCAATGTTATATATGCCATCATGTGCCAGCAATGCCCCTCTGCTATGTACATTGGCCAAACTGGACAGTCACTACGCAAGAGGATAAATGGACACAAGTCAGATATCAGGAATGGCAATATACAAAAACCTGTAGGAGAACACTTTAACCTCCCTGGCCACACAATAGCAGATGTTAAGGTAGCCATCTTACAGCAAAAAAACTTCAGGACCAGACTCCAAAGAGAAACTGCTGAGCTCCAGTTCATTTGCAAATTTGACACCATCAGATCAGGATTAAACAAAGACTGTGAATGGCTATCCAACTACAGAAGCAGTTTCTCCTCCCTTGGTGTTCACACCTCTACTGCTAGCAGAGGACCTCACCCTCCCTGATTGAACTAACCTCGTTATCTCCACACTGATTTATACCTGCCTCTGGAGATTTCCATTACTTGCATCTGAAGAAGTGAGGTTCTTACCCACGAAAGCTTATGCTCCCAATACTTCTGTTAGTCTTAAAGGTGCCACAGGACCCTCTGTTGCTTGTTATAGTCCTAGCCTTCACAGCCTCCTCAGGCAAGGAGTTCCACAGGTTTACTGTGCGCTGTGTGAAGAAGAACTTCCTTTTATTTGTTTTAAACCTGCTGCCTATTAATCTCATTTGGTGACCCCTAGTTCTTGTGTTCATGAGAAGGTGTAAATAACACTTCCTTATTTACTTTCTCTACACCACTCATGATTTTATAGACCTCTATCATATCCCCCCTTAGTCTCCTCTTGTCTTGCTTCTCTGGGATGGAGGCAGAAGGCCCGGGACGTGGTTCTGTTGACAGGACAATGTACATGCGGGTCTGGCCTGCCCTGTGGTCCTGTCAGACCCTCTGATGATGACCTCACTGTCAGGGAAGTGAAAGTGATGAATGAAAAGAGGAAGGGGTTTTATTCAAACCGGTTAAAAGGCTATGATCTGGTTTTGTTAACCGCTGTGTAACTGAGCCCCTGGAACCCACTGTGGAGAAAAGCTCCCCGTGTAAAAGACCCAACACCGCTGGTCCTTTCAGTTAAGGGCTAAGATCCAGTCACACGTCCAAGTCCACTGAGGGAGACCTCCAGCAAAGACCAGACAGGAAATACTTCTCCTTTCAAGTCTTCTTTGTTCAGGGAATAGTAATTGTTAGAAATACAGGTAGTTGGGTTTGTGCTGCCCAGGGGAAGTACCTGCTGGGTGTGAAGGTGTCCACCAGCACCTGTAACAACAGCCCCCACTCGGCACCTCGGCTGCCCCCACACCTGGAGCCTGCGCAGGGGGATAGGAGGTACACTGGCGCCATACCCCTTGGAGGCCATGTCCTCACACCGCCTTCAGGGGGCACCACTCAGCCCCAAACAGGGAAGCGCCTGAGACAGTTGTTAATGACTGATACACCCAATGGGGTATGAAATAATATCTACTGCCCCGTGTGACACCCTGCAGGTCCTACCCAAGCCTGTCCGCAGGTGTTTCTGTTGGGGGGGGGTCTGGTTCCCGGGGGTCACAGGCTGATGCAAAGCAGGGAGGGACCACACAGGAGTAGAACCAGCCAGCATGACCTCAATGTGTGTGTGTGTGTCTGAAATAAATGGAGAGAGAGGTTTGTTTTCTAATTACCCCCACCCCTCGTCTGGTCAGCCAGGGTGGGTGAGGAGCAGCCCAGATTGGCCGGGAGGCAGAGTCGGGATTTCTATCTTGCTGTCGATACCCAGCATAGCCCTGAATGCAGACTGAGTGAGGACATCAGGGTGTGGCCGGGTGGGAGTGGATCTTCTCTTCCCTTAGCCAGCCATGCAGGACTGCACCCACCCCACATGCTGCACCGAAGGGCACTTCAGCCGTGTAAACGCAGCAGAGTCCTTCTTGGTAAAAGGCTCTGGAGACAGGACGCTCAGATCGTAATGGTCTTGTGGTTAAAGAGACAAAACAGCGCCCAGGACACCTGAATACGATTTCTGGCTCTGGCAGATGTCTCAGGTTCCCAGTGTAAAATGGAGATAATACTCGGAGCGGTCAGAGAAGAGCGGTGCCTTGTGAAGCTCTCGTATTCACATCTCTCAAGTGCCCTGAGCTCCTTGGCTGGAGAAGCTGGAGCTGTGAAGATTGGATCCAGATTCACCTGTGAACTTCCCCAGCTGTTGGGAGTGCGCGGCAGAACGTGCGTTGGGTGGTCCCTTAGAACTAGTGCTGAGCGACGTGACTGAATCATGGTCCCATGTGAGAATGGCCTGTGGCTAGATCGGGAGAGTGTTAGAATGGTTCTGTCTCGCGCCCCCAGTCAGGCCAGCTGTGTGTAGATGGTGCTAGCAGGAGCAGTGGTAACGGCTGGTTAATGTTCTGCTAACCTGGCTGCGCCCCCTTTCTATGCAGCATCACAGTACCAGGTGCGCTGCCGGCACGTGACTAATGAGCAAGTCGCTTACTGGCTGATTCCGCATCAAACTGCAGCTCTCAGCTGATTCGGAGCCACCCCAATTCTAAAACCATCTTTAAATCAGTCCGGGTGACATCTCCGCCTGTCCCTCAGCTCATCCTGCCGGACCCAAGCACCTCCACGGGCAGAGCCTGCCCTCCCTCGTTCCCCTCAGAGATGTTACAGCCAGAAGGGACCATACAAGCAGCTAGTCCAGTGGTTTTCAACCTTTTTTTTTCATTTGTGGCCCCCTAAAATATTCCGAATGGCAGTGTGGGCCTTTCTGGAAATCGTAGACAGCCTGTAGCCCCCCCAGGGGTCCGCGAACCACAGGTTGAAAACCACCGATCTAGTCTGACCTCATGTATCTCACAGGCCATTCAACATCATCCAGTTACCCCTGTATTGACCCAGTAACTTGTATGTTATTGTCTGTCTCCCACAGGGCAGCCCGTCTGGATCTGGAGACACCAGGAATTAGAGAATCCACCACTGCCTTGACCCTTTGTTTCCAGGGTTAAGCCCCTCACTGTTGCAAATTCGTGTCTCATTTCTCATTTGAATTTGTCTGGCTTCAGCTTCCACCCAGTAGTTCTTGTGATGATTCTGCTGGATTAAAGAGCCCGCTCGTATCTGTGTTTTTCTCCCCATGAAGGTACTTCCAGGCTGTAACCAACTCCCCGCTCGGGCTTCCTTTTCATAAACAGACGGAACTCTTTCAGCCTCTCACGTTTTCTTCAGCTGAGTCATTGTTGTGTCTCTTTTCTGCCCAACATCCTGTTTGAAATGTGGACACCAGAACTGGACGCAGTATTCCAGCATCACTCTCACCAGTGCTGTGTACCAGGGTATAATCCTCTGCCTGCTCCGCTCACCACTCCTCTGTTAATACGTCCAAG